CTTTAAATTATGTTTTTTAAAATTCAAAATCTTTAGATTTTCCATGATTTTTACATTTAAAAATATGTTTTTAAATGCAGGGATGGTGACTTCTGGTTAGACATTAGCAGTGTGAGATCCTAACATCAGCAAAAAATGACATGAAAGAAAGTATTGATTCCATGTCTGATTTTATATTTAAGCAGCCAATGGCAAATGTCCTCAAAATGGAATCAGATGTTTGTAACTTAATACTTAAGAAAAATGATGAGTGCGTGTTTTTTTACTTTTAAGTATTCTCTGTGCTGCCTGGCTTAAGACATAAACTGATGTAAAAATAAATGACTGCTTGCATAATTTATGTGATGTCCTGCTCCTGATCCTGTTTGTATTGATTTTTCTAAAAGGCTTTTGTGGCCACAGGAACCAATCTGTCTCTCCAGTTTTTTCCGGCCAGCTGGCAGGGAGAACAGCGACAAACACCTAGCCGAGAGTATGTCGACCTAGAAAGAGAAGCAGGCAAGGTAGGAAACATTTCTTTGCAATTTAAAATACTGTGGGTTATTTTGTTAGAGATTATCTGGTAATTTACATTTTAATAAAGATCACAGATCTGATTACGCCAGCATATGCTCAGATTTGTTTTCATTCCATGTTATAAGGATGTAATATAATTTTTTTTTTTTTTTTTTGAGGCGGAGTTTTGCTCTCGTTGCCCAGGCTGGAGTGCAGCGGTGTGATATCAGCTCACTGCAACCTCTGCCTTCCGGTTTCAAGCAATTCTCCTGGCTTAGCCTCCTGAGTAGCTGGGATTACAGGCATCTGCCACCACGCCTGGCTAATTTTTGTGTTTTTAGCAGAGACAGGATTTCACCATGTTGGCCAGGCTGGTCTTGAACTCCCGACCTCAGGTGATCTACCTGCCTCGGCCTCCTAGAGTACTAGGATTATAGGCATGAGCCACTGCTCCTGGCCAATATAATTTTTTAAAACTACTGTTTAACTTTTATATCACTCTAGTTCTAATTTCATGTGCATAGTATTCATCATAGAACATTCTAACCCTTAAGGAAAATAACATTCAGAACAATTTCTTTAAAAGGTTGACAAGATATATTTTGTTTACAAAAATATATGTAACTATAATATTATAAAAATTAAAAGCAAAATGGGAAAAAAGCTCTACAGGTTTAAAAATTGATAGTACTTAGAAATGGCTCATAGATAACTTTCTAATTCCATTAACAGAGCAAATTTACATTTGAGAAAAACAGTGTGAAAACTTTAACTTGAAATATATTTTTTTGTTTTGAGAAAAAGTTTCTGGAAACATGTCTTACAGTTTTGATGTTAGAAGTTTAGGTTAAAGATACAAATATATAGGTAAAATGTTTAAGCTGCGAGCCTTATTTCAAGTCTACGTTAAAT